GGGCAGCAGACTGAAGGTGACCAAGTTAAGCCGTGTTTGGAGGAGCTGATCTTTCTCTTGCGGTCTTCCATTTCATCATCCTTACATCTTACAGTTAACAGACACCAATGCCCCCCTCTGGCCTGTAATCATCTTTTGGTCTTATTTCAAAAAGTTCTTTCATGAAAACAAGAGACCAGGAAAGACTTTCACGCAAGCACAGAGACATCCAGATACAGCCTCCCCACAAAAACCACAAGGGCACCCACAACCCCAAGTCTTAACTTTGATTCTTTGGGGTGAAGTTTGGGGTAACAAAGGCTCAGTGGCTTTCCTTGCCAACTCTTCCCTTCAAAGTTGGACCTGCCAACAACAATGACCTCACTCAGGCTGGTAATCTATTTCTTGAGAGTGAGATGAAGTTGCAAAGAGGATCCTGGATTGGCTTTCATAAGAAAGAATAAAGAAGCTAACAAATCCTCTAAATAAATAAGAAGGGAGAGATGGTGGCGGGAAAGAACCATTGGCTTGAATAAACACTTATTTTTCAAAAGAAAGCTTTTTCAATTACAAAAGACCATACTTCCTCATTTTGGAAATATTTGAAAATATGACCAGAGTAACTTCGCACCATGTACAACCACAAGAATAGGATCCTGATTAGAATGAGTCATACTCCTTTAAGTAGAATATGCCAAAATACATCCTACTGCCATGTGTATCTAAAAAGTACAAATAAAATTTAAACAAGAAGCATTGGAAAATAACATAAAAATCAAATTGGAACCCTCTCCCTGGCAATCATAAGTCACTATTAAACATTTTGATATATTTCTTTCCAGAATTCTGCCTCTCTATTGTACATAGACATATCTAATTTTGTGTTATGAATTCATATAATTCTTGTTTTTATAAGGTTGGAATCAGACAATATATACTGTCTATAATGGGGTCAGTCACTAAACCTCTTGAGGCCATGGTTTACTGATGTAATGAAATAGAACTAATCACACCTGCCTTGCAGGGCAGTTGGAAGAGCTAACCAAGATCACAGGTCCAGTGGTTGGGACCAAGGAGTCATTCAACAATGGCGACTACTGTTACTGCTGATATTAATGACATGGCATTTGATCTTCTCCATGGTTCTGGAATTTTATAAGCTGCTGGTCTTAAAGTAACTAAAAATCTAGCAATCACAACTTTATAAATAATGGCAAGCTAATGTTGTGTTATTTGACAGAGGCAATGGTCAATTCTCCCAGCTCTACCCATCCCTGAATTCAGAATCCCTGTGTTCCTGTCTGAGGCTAGTGCTGAGACATGAAGGTTGAGTCTCACTGGAGTTTGGGAGGCTCTGAGGCTGCCCTTTAATGCACTGTCTAGGCTGTGACACATGGGGAGTGGCTCCTTCCACATGGGAAACCCTGAGGCATGCCTCTGGGGAAGGGATAGGCATCTGTGAAGGAGTCATGTGCCTGTGAGGGTGTAGTGGCTGTGGGGAGAAGGAGTCTAATAGGTTCTGCGTTGAGGGGGCAGTTGGTCACTCTATGAGTCTTGGATTATGTATGTCTCCTTTCTACCTTCTCCCTTCTCTGCTCTCTCTCTCTTTCACTATCTCCCTCCCTTCTACCTTCCCTGGGTGAATAGTTTGTTCCTTCCCTTCCTTTCTAACTCCCCCTCTCCCTGCTCCAGCCTCCCCATCTTTTATCCAAATGATAAGAAACCCTAGTAATAGTCCTTTCCTTTGAGATACATGGCAGTGAAAAAACCAAGAGAACTGGTTCAGAAACTCAAAAAGAACAGCAACTGAGGGAAGGTCTAGTTGGAAGAATGGGGCACCTGAGCACATCTGTGGGGAGAGGAGAGAGGGAAGAGGCAGGACATTTGAAGATACCAGGGAGATCAGAGGTCCCAATGGGTTCCAGACAAACCTTAGGAGACAGAACCCTGACTAAGGTGAAGTCAATGGCTTTGAACAAACTGCTCTTCCTTCCTTAGAGGTGGTAGAAAGGAGGAAAGACAGGCCATGAGTATAGGTTCTGTGAAGGGAAGGAAGGCAGTTGCAGGAGCCTTCAGAATGTGGTGAAGGCCAGCCCAAACCTGAAGCATGGTGAGTACAGTGAGGCTCAGAGCTGATTGCAGAGAAACAGGGCAAGCTGAGGAGGGCAGATGGCACCACTTTGCAGTGAGTCCTCTCTGCAGTGATTTCCAGACTTTCTCCAGACATACCTGTCATCCAAGAAGCAGACAGGAAGATGGGGCAGGATAGTATTAGTGGCAAGGCCAGAGGGCCAGAGTCTCCAGGGAAGTGGCAAAGTAATCTGGAACAGCTCCCTTCTCACAGATCTTAGCAGTGTTGGGCAAACAATTCGTCTGTGTGCCTGTCTTCTATACCCAACTGTTTGAGCCCCTTTTGATGGAGACTGGCTCTTACCTTGGCCTTCCCCACACTTAGCACAGTGCTGAGACACAGAGGTATCAGTACACATTTGCTATACTGAAAAAGCTCATAAGAGCAAACAGGACAGCAAGAAAATCAAAGAAGTGGAACAGAGGGAGCAAAAAGGAGGCTGGGGGAAAGACATGGTAAAGACAAAGGGTTTTTAGAAGAAAGAGAGTTGCTGAGACAGTCAAAGAATAGGGTCAGAATCAGAGGGGAGAACCTGAAGCCAGAGATGTGGGAATCAGTTCAATAACACCAGGTGTGTCATCCTGCTGGGTGGTTGATATTGTTTTTCTGTCTACAAAGTGCTTTTTTACATTCAATTGTTTAGAAACAATGTAAGGAATATGTTCTAGTATTTTTATTCTTTTAGACATATGGGCAGAGATTCAGAGAGGCTGTCATTTGCTCTCAGTTACACAACTGGCCAGTAATTGAGCCCTCTCAGTTCATCTTTGCACTACTTCAGGACTCTCTGATGGAGGAAAGTAACTTCTATACAAATGATGAAATAGAGCCAATGTGGGTTCAGCGGGAGTAGGGGAGGCTAACAGTGTGGCTTCTGAAGTCACTGAGGACAGCAGGGAAAGAGATGGAAAGGAGATGAGGAACTGGAGACAAGTCAATGACAATGACAGGGCAGTGAAGAAAGTTCCTAGTCTCTGTGTTAGAAGCCAAAAGATGAAACTGACTTGCACCAGGCTATGGCATTGGGCACAGGTGTCTGATGATCTCCTATTGGAGATGGTTCAGCACTCCATGGAGTCCCCAGTTGGGGAGAAGCTAAAGAACCTGAAGAGAGGCAAGGATTGGGGTTTTGAAAACTCCCCATGAGGAAAGGGGAAAGCTCAAACATTTAATGGTGAATAAGGTGAATTTATTATGAGGGATTTATATTATTATCCTTTTCTATCTGCAAAAACTATAATACCTCCTCCAAAAGAGAGATGGAAAACAAAATCTAGACTAGCAGCACCTGGAACACATCATTAACTAAAAATAATTTCCAAAATAAACCAAGTTATAAAGAGACATACTGACAAAATGTGGGGCCTAGTCCCCTCATGAATCAAGAAGAAATTTTAAATGAACCAGGATTATATATATATATATATATTCCACATGATAGGGGACATACGGCCTCTTAATCTCATAAAAGGTGGGAGAAAGGCATGGATAAGACAATCTACCTTGGTAAGAAAGATATATAATAAAGAGCTGGGCATAGCAGTACACATCTGTAATCCCAGAGGTTCAGGAGGCTGAGACAGGAGGATCACGAGTTCAAAGCCAGCCTCAGCAACTTACTGAGGCACTAAGGAACTCAGTGAGACCCTGTCTCTAAATAAAATACAAAATAGGGCTAGGGATGTGGCTCAATGGTTGAGTGCCCCTGAGTTCAATCCCCAGTACCATTTAAAAAAAAAAAAAGAATGTATAATAAAGAGAGGATCACAGATTTTTATATGCTGGCCCTCAGTTACATCTTCATTAAATACATGGCTTCCTGGGAGCAAGGCGAGCCCAACACATTAAAATTAGGAATGACTGCACAATGCCTTTAAGCTCCCAAGTCAATTTGGCTACTTGGGTGAATATTTTCCGTGAAATGATTTCAAAAGAGCAACAATTAGACTGATCTGGACTCAAATCATTCAGACCCAATGGTAAATATCCTGAATCATCTGTTAAGTGAGAGGCCTATAGTGGTTTGAATGAGTCCCTTTCTCCTGAAACTCTCCAATCTGGGAGGCAGTGCTACATCCCCACATTGTGCTCCCTTGCCAATATCTCCTGAAAGGAGCTATTTGGGGACAATGTCTTTTATCACATTACTCTAGAGAAAAAAATTATTCATAAGGAGAATTCACCACATGAACCATTTCTTAAAGTCATCCACTGAAGACAGACAGTGAAGAGGATGATGCTTCAGCAGAAACGTTAACTAAGCACCTACCACAAGCCAGCTTTTCTACATGGTGCTTCAACTGCTGTCTTGTTTCATCTCTATGTAATTACGCATTAAGCAACTTCTTCTTACAGAAGAGGAAACAAAGTCCTAGGACAAGTGACCTGTCAAGTTAATTCCAAAACTTTCCTCCTTTCTTTCACTAAATCATGTTTCACTGAATAGTGAAATTTTCATAAAAAGCCTCAGGAGGTTTTGAAATCTAGCTTATGCTCCCAAACCACAGCTGAAAGCAAGTCTGATGGGACGTTCTAGGGCATGGTTGAAACTTGAAGATCTTGGGGATCTCAAATGCTCCTGTCACCAGTTTCCAATTTGTCTGAGGGGGAAACAAAAGTATATGACTTCTTGGTGCTTTGGTTTATCGAAACTGAGAAATAGGAAAAGTATAAAAAAGTGTTATCTACTCTCTTGAACTCTTTAGAATGTCACGACATATATGAAGGCTATTTAGAAATAAAAAAGCATGCAATCAGGTGCTCTAAAACCCATGCCATTTTTGGAGTATTTTTAATTTAGAGTCACCAGTGGCATTAACAGCTATAGACCTAACATTCCGGGTCCTGGAAGAGGGAAAGCAGAGGGCAGATAGATATGCAGCAGCCTTACCAGCAGTAGTCCAGTAGATGTGGAGGCAGCACGGGGATGTACACATGTTGCCAGTACATGGGGTAGAGCATTGCAGCTGCACCATGGATGCAGGCAGTCAACTGCAACAGAAGCAGAGCAGAGATTCAGAGCTAAAAAACCAAAGTCGGGGAAGCAACATATCTTAAAGAAGCTGAGAAGTATGGAGAAAATAAGTTAACCCAATCACCCTAATACAAATTTAGGAGGAGGTGGTTCTTCAAAGTGTCTATCCATCCTCCCCCACCCCCACTTTAAAGCTAACTATAAGGCTGACAGTATAGCTCAGTGGGAGAGTGCTTGCCTAGCAAGTTCCATCCCAAGCACTGTAAATGAAAAAAATCACTAATGCAAATTTAGAGCAGAAATTTTGGAAGATGGAGAAAGGGATAAAAGAAAATAAAAGTCTACATTTTCTGAAGATTATTTAACATTTCAAGGGGTTACATGAATAAGTACTTATGTTTCCTTTCCTAACAAAATTAGGATTACTATAAATACAGTATTCTTTTTGCTCTTTTTAAAAGTTAACATTTTTATGCCATTTTCCCACATCTTTAAATCTTCTTAGAAAATATCTTTTAATGATATGCAATGAATTTCACCTGTTTAACTACTCTTTTATCATTAAGTTATAAAATTGCATCAGGTCAGTATTTTTTATGTATGGTTCCTAAATGTAAAATTCAGAGGCAAAGGTCATGCATATTTTAAGGCTTATAATAAGGATAGTAACACAAATATCAGAAATATGTTAATATAATAAAAAGAGAAGGCGGGAGGCTCTTTATACTCACCCAGCCACACACTATGATGCTGGTCTTGCTGCCTGTCACCAGCACCAAGTATTGTAGGCAAGATAGTGACTTTACCTTGTATCTATCTTACTTTTATTTTTATTTATTTGATCATACTTGTATCTATCTTTATTTCTCTGATCATGACTGAGACTGAATATTTTTTGTCTTGCAGTTATTGAATACATTTCTTAGGTAAATGGTCTATTTATATTGTTAGCCTATTTTAAAAGTGAATATCAGTATTTTAAAAATTGATTTGTAAAAAAGCACTCACTGATAATTTGCAAAGAATACCAACACTCTGTTATTTTTAAAAAATAATCTATCCTGAATTTTCTCTGCATTTCTGAGTGAAGAGAAAGTTTAAATAATTATGTAGACTAATCTTTACCTTAGTGGTGAATTCTACTACTTTCATCCTAAGACAAGTCCTCCAAAATTTCTCCCAGCATTTAACTCTTTAATCCATCTGGAATTAATTTAATGTTAAGAGCTGAGGTGATAATTTATTTTTTCCACATAGTTAATCAATTTCTCTGGCACTGTTTACTGGCTAATCCTTCCTCTCCCTATTCTCTTGACATGCCATCCCTTTCTGTATCCTCTACCCTTTCATAAAGGGCTACAAATATAATAAAATCAGTATTTAATACAACTAAAAATTTAGGAAACAAAGATAATAAAAGGAATACAATTGCTACAAAATTCAATATGGCCAAAAGAGAAGGAAAAAAAAACCCACCTTTGGAGATATAACTATGAAGTGACAAAAGCCAACAAACACATGTTTCTTTCTGACTTTCTTCTTTAATGTTTCTTTGGTTTCTGGGAAGCCTGTTCCCAAGAGGACTTTGCTTCTTTTGGAAGCTGTTAACTGGTCTTTGCTGACAGAAGGACATTTACGTGGCGAAAGAGTGACGTGCCAAGGCCCAGTTAAAAGAATCCCAGAGGTTAGTGTAACATGAACAGCTTTAAATTGGATATTCTGCTGATGTTTCACAGTTGTGAGAGCTGTGTATTAAAGACAGGGCGCCACTTCCCCCACCCTCCCCTTCCCTCCAGACCCTGTTCTTTAAATCAGATACACACTCCGAACAGGAGGGGATCCATAGTGTCAGAGAGCTGCTCCCAACGACTCTGCCAAGACTCTGAGGTCCAATCCATTCTTCCCTATCTACTTTGGTAGGTTCCCTGACAAAGGAGGCTGCCAAATGTATATACATGACTAATTCCTTCAGGATTTCTCACAGATGAAAACTCCTTGCTGGTGCTGAGTGAGAATAAACCAGCTTTACTCCAACTTGACCCTGAAATCAGTCTAGAGGGCTACACTGGCCTTTGGCCCCAGCTCTTTCTGCACTCAGCCTTTAACTAGCATCCAGAGTGCTTTCCTTAACATGCAGGGCCAGACATATATCACTTTGTACTCCAAGTCTTTGGGGTATAACTGAGATGTCTTCACCAGGTCCCAGTCTACCTGTAAAGCAGCATCTCCAACCACAGTCTCAACTGCCTTCTCCATGTTTTCCTTTGGAATATATTTGCAGATGTAGAAATAGCTATGGACTCCTTTTCCTCTCCTCTTGTTTCTACTTATCCCCCAATGTAGCCCAGACTTGTGTCCCTAGCAAACCCTTCTCTCAGGTCTCTGCACACACACTCCTCCCCTCCTCTCTGAAGTCTTGCCTTGGCTCCCCTGGATATGTGTCCCCATTATTAACTGGATTGTTACTGTCTGCAGTTTATACCCTGATTATAAAGTACACAAAGTCCCTGTCTCCCTTCATCCCCGTGTTCTCAGTGTCAAAGCACATATATAAGTGCTGTTTAATGAGATGTGTCCTGAATAAATAAAAAACAATTCCTACTTAGCATATATTCATCACAACATAAAGGTAGCTGGTGACTTGGCTTCAAGACTACTGTACCAACATTTTCATGAGTCCCACAGAGTAGGGCATATGACTCAAATTCTAAAACAATAACATGCTTAGACATACAAATATACCACTTTTGGAAAATCACTCATCCAAAAATATGCCTACTCTATAACTCTAAAACATATCAAATAAATAAAAACACTTCAAAACCTATAAGGTACTTTACAAACATAAAGTAACATCATCTCACGTTCATTTGTAATTCTCTGAAAGAGTCATTGGATAGAGAGGTCCTGTCTGAGACAAAACTTGATTAGCTTCTTTTTAACTGAAGTTGTTTGGGGTCAAAATCTTATCCTCAGGAAATGTTCTTTCCATGTGTCTGTCCTTAACCTCAAAATAAGTCTACTAAGCCAAATACCAACATTCTAAAATTACTTATCCTTGATGCAAAATAAAAATAATAATTAATAAATAAAATCAAAGCTTTTAAGGTGCTTGATCATTTTGTTACAGGATTTTTCTAAGGGACAAATCTCTGCAGTTGGGGTAAAATGCATTCACCCATGTGATTAAGAAAACAAACAAACAAAGCGGGGAATTGTTTGGCTCCTTTCCAAAATACTAAATAGCACAAATTATGTGCATTGTTACTTAAGAACAGCAGTTAAGCTGATTACAGGAAAAGTCTGACCATATATCTATGCTTAACCAGAAATGATGTACTATGACACACAAAATATCACTAACTACTTATTTTAAAAATAACTCTAAGTCCCATTTCTAAAAATGAAAGTCTTAAAGGACTATGCTTTTTCTTCATAGAAGACAAAAATTTTAAATAATGAAAAGTATACAATTTGGAGTGTAGTAGTCAACAAAGGGGTATTGTGAATATTTAATTAAAGTGCAAGTTGAGGAAAATGATTCTATCAAATCTCACTCAGTGGGAGAATAGAAAGATAGTATGTGTAAAATTTGCCCAAAGTCATTAGTCACAATGAATATTCATCAGAAGCCAATTATCAATCCCATTTAATGACACCCCAAAAGATTTTGCCCTGAAGCAGCTGAATAGTCTAGGACTCCAGACAAAACTAGACAAATTATACAGCCAACAGCTAGTCTAGCCGGGACACAGATTGGAAGGTAAACCACTGGTGGGTTTTTTGGCTGCACTTTAGCAAATTCTGTCCTCAATTAAAGGTGCACAAGGTCAGTTATATCTTGGAGCTTTTTATATAGCTCCATTAGGTTTCTTTGAGGCTGAGGAAGAAAAGGAGAGAAGGCAGAGGGGGTAGGACATGAATGGAGAATGATCAATGATAAAGGTAGAAAAAAATCACAAGGATACTTTTTCTCTCTCTTATTTATTTTTTTTTAGTTTAAGGTATAATGCATAGATTGTCAAGATTTCAGATTCCAATGCCTCAGTTATTCCCAATACAACTTTGCAATTTAAAATGGAATTAAAAATAAGAATCCCTCCTTAAAAAAAAAAAATCCCCACAGGTTAAGTGCCAGGCATCATTTTGGGGCTTGAATACTCACAAAGTACTGCTTTAAGGAAATGTGTGTGGATACACAAGCATCCTCTTCATCACATTTCACAAGTAAGGAAATGGTCTCAGAGCTGAAATAAGTTGCTTAGGGCCACTCACTAGTAAGTGATAGAACTGGGACTCACATCCAGGTCAGACTATAATGGCCACGATTTCTATAATGTATAAATCAACTTAAAAAGTGTTTGTGTGCCTATCCTGTGCCATCCACAATGCGGAGATTTCTAAAATAGATAAGATATTGTCCCTGTTGGCACTGCCCAATTATGTAGATAGGCATTTGCTTCAGTGTTGGATGGCCACATTTCCAGGATAAAATACAAGTAACAGGAAATAATCTTTTATTTATTTTTCTTAAAACACACACAGTTTATCACATGCCTAGGGCATGAGAGTCTTAGATTAAAAAATAATCATTTTTAAAACAAACAGATCTGATCATTTCCTGAGGATTAGTAACATTTAACTAAGGTGTTGTAGTGTCTTTAATCCACAGGAAATTCTAGACAAGAAACTAATGACTGTTAGTCAAAGGGAAAGGTTTATATGACATTGTGGGCATACATATCTGAAATACTGGTTTAAAAGTAGTTGAAAGTCTGTGTTTCTGGCATGTTCTCATTCACATACTTGCAGAGTCTTCTACTAACTCTCTTTTTGATCTGAACAAGCTTCGTCTCCTGGGTCTCAATTTCTCCAATATGTAAAATGAAAGGCTAGCTACAAGATTCCTATGGAAGTTGACTATTCCTCCTCTGCCCCCATTTACCCTCTTCAGATATACTGACTGAATATAAGTCTATCTCAAAGTTGGTCTCGCTTCCTCCTCTCTGCAGCTACA